ACTGTCACATTCTGAGTGAACATTACATACAAACATTTTGGTTATGCCCGCACAGTAAGACAAATTTAGCACACACGGGACACAGTTAGCCAGGAAGCTAAAGTGAGTATAGTAGCTCTTAAAAAAAAACTACAGTTATCACATTCACCACAAACGCTCCCTGGTCATTAAATGAACATAATAAACTTAAATACAGCTTTGAAGTCATACCTTTTAAGTAAGAACTTTACCTGTAAAGGGGAATAATGAAAACACATGGACACGATGTTACTGCTTTCGTCTCCAGTGTTGTAATGGAGGAGCAGAAGCATTGTGTTCCCCTACATCAATTCAGACAAAACCAATCGAGACTCGAACGATAAACAAACTCTCAAAACTTAAAATGCAAGAAGGTTGAACTCTTCAAGAATTATACACAAACATAACCAGAAAAGTAACTTTAAAGAAAATACATTTTAAACTTAATTAAACTTAGGCAACCTTTTACTGTATTGATCTACAGTGCTGAACTTGAAAGACCAAAATAATCGATTGCAGATCACTAGATCTTATTTTCCCTTTTATTTATATAAAATAGTTTTATAACCACTACACACTCCCCTTCGACATAAATGTCGTCCTCGACATTCAATTATTAAAGGAGTAAGACGACAAACATAGTCCATAAAACCTGAATCTATTTAGTCCATACACAGGCACTTGGCCTAATCAAAGTCTTTAAGTGCTGATACCAAGTCCATAAATGACGAGTCATCCATACACGAACACATGATGATATGTGGACATCTGGACTGGCTCTGGCCACATAGAACTTGCTTGAAGGGGTCCATAATAGTGCACTGGGTCAAGCCAATATGTGGACCTTGCTGGAAGTCCCTAACTGTAACAAGATGGATAACCAAGTTCATCATAGGTGAATCGCTGTGGTGGTCGCCGTTCTCTTCTAGGCCTATCTTGTACTTGCTCATCTCCACTGTGGTTCTCACATGAAGGAGATGACATGGGTGGCAGTAGAGGGCTGTCTCCACAATTTTCCAGTTGTTCTGGTGCTCCATCTTCCACTAGCAGGTCAGGCATCACTTGATCTTCCTCCAGGTTTAACAGTGTCTCTTGTTCCTCTCCTGGCCTTGTTCCTCTCTTTGCTGCTGTGAGTTCAGGGCCTGCTGAGACATCAGTGTGCTCCTCAGCAGTGGGACTTGTATGTTTGTGTGGCTCAGGGCATGGGGAGTAAAACCATTCATCCTCCGAGTCCTCATCACTGTCGTCTTTTTGTTGGCTGTTATGTTCACCGTCACTTGTCTGTCTTGAATCTTTTCTCCGTGATCTGGCAACTTTTAGGGGAACTTCCAGAGGTAGGTGGTCACAGGGGAGTAAGAGGTTG